AACCCGTGTCCCCTGCATCGGCAGGCGGACTCTCAACCACTGCACCACCAGGGAAGCCCTCTTGACATTTTTAAAGGAAACAAAAAATACTTTAAAGACAAAACTTTTCAGAAATCCACATATTATGTGAAAAAAGATACAACAGCCTCCCTTGCTAAAACTACAGTTTGGAGAAATTTGATTTCAAAATAACACTAACCCATTCATTTATTCAACAAGAACTGAGCCAGAACTATCTTGCATACTTTGTGTTAAATGAAGTAGACATAAAAATGAAGTAGAAAATCTCCCTTCCCACTATGGAAAGAACCATTCTTTAAAATATGTCAAAGACTACTTCTAACTTGCCACAGTGATGGGTCCAAATGACACAGAAATGGTCATATAAAATACTATGATATTGGTTTGGGAAAAAAAATACACACACACACACACACACACACACACGAAAATGAAAGCAAGTTCCTTTATAAAGGTAAACATATTCAGCATCAGTGGACCTCAGAGTAAGACTGGAGATTCAGGACGTCTGCTCAATCTAGTAGATTATCCAAATGGATCCATATCTTTCTCCTCCCTAAAATTCTTCCAATTCCTGCTTAATTAATATATTACATCTAAACATGAAAGATGTAGAACTACTTACAATAACAGAGAGGGGAAAAGTGGGAGGTAGTAAATACACAACTAAGGCAGAGATATGGGTTTCATTGTACATTCCACAGCCAATATGAATGATATTGATTTTCAGATTACCTGCTCTTTTATATTATTCATACCTCCTTTTCCCTCTATTAGTGAAGAGAACGAAATTGTCTGTGCACTTGCTTGATTCCACTGAGAGGCCTGAATCACCACTTGGAACTATCAATCATTCCTTTAAGATTAGTCTCTCCTAAAAGCCTGCAGTGAAACGATAATGCACTAACCTGTCTCCAGTTAATGGCAAAATAATGGTTGCTTGAGAAGAAAACACAATGAAAGATAATCTCATTTGAGGGCTGCAAAATAAGAAAAGAGGCAGTTAAAACATTTTTAAAAGAAATATTGATATAATACAGATGTATAGCTAGGGAGTCTCATTTAAAATCAGTCTTACTGAATGGTCCAGGCTTCTTTTAAATGGAACTCCCTAAGTAGATACACTTAACTCTGCTCAACATTACTGCATATGTCATTTTGGATTTAGTCAGTGCTCCTCAGCACTCAAGCACTCCTCCCTGACCCATAGGACTGTTTAGGTAGAGGCTAACTAGAAAGATGAATTCTAGGCCAATGGAAAATTTTTTAGTAGAAAGTGCTTCTTCCTTTGATGTTCTATCTCATCTCCTTCTAGGAGGCCAATCCCTTCAGAGTGATTATCATTAGCAATTTTAGGGCTGGAGAGCAGTCCGTTTGATTTAATTACCACAGCTATGAAAAGGAGTTCATACAGAACTTATCCTGAAGTAAGATTACTTAAAGAGTGTCATGGGCAATGTGACACAGAAGAACAAATCACATTTTGATTAGACATTTTCAATTTTCCAAGTCTCAAATATCACACTCCAGTTGGCAACAACTGCCCTGGTTAGCTACACCTTTTAAGCTTTAAGCCTTGATCTCACAGAATGGCTCTAGTTTCAAAGACACTCTATGCAACTCTTACTAAGATCTGAAACTGAAGATGTGAAAGTAAGACCTACAAACTGAAGAGCAGAATGATATCAAAGGGTTATACATATTTGAAAAGTCATTCTCTTCAGTAGTCACCCTTTATTTACTTTCTACAATGCACTGTTGGTTAGTAACTGAGCAACTAAACTTGAACCAGAGAACTGTGTATTATAGAATTCCAATTTGTAAACCAGACCAAATAAGAGCCCCACTTCTTGGAAATATACTGAAATGACCCACTGCTTTTGATCAAAATCTATGGGACTCTGCACACCCTTGGATTAAATCAGAAAATTTATAAACAACTCTTTCTTCTGCCTTTGACATTTAAGGATATAGGGCCTTGTTTATTTTTCTCTCCTAGACAAGTTTACCTCAGACCTTGTCCAGAAATGAGTGTTATACTTGGCTTCTTAAGCAGGATGATTAAACATGGACAAGCATACATTTTTATAGGGATAAACTTACTGCTGCCAATAACTAAAAGCAAGGATTGCCTAGGCCTCTACAGATTGTTTGAAGTTACTTGCAACATGACTTTCAAAATGTTTTGATCATCCAAGCCGGTTTTACAGAAAACATTTGGGCTAACAAGACTGAAAGAAGCAATATTTAATGATACAGCTCCTTTTCATGTCCTTTCCATTATCTTGATAAACTTTCATTTGCTCATTGCATTTTTTCTTCTGAAAAAAAAAAAAGGAGAAAAAAAAAAAAGCCTCAAAACACTAGTGTCCTAAGGTTATTTTTAAATAGGGATGCCACTAATTCCTGGTTACCTCTAAATAAGAGAGTAAGCTGGATTTCATAGCTGTTATGCTTTTTATAGGAGAGAAACCAATCTTTCCTAGTAAGGCTTATTGCATATATAGAACAGTTAAATTTTAAACCAGCCACACGCCCACATATTGCGTAAACACAGTCATTTCTTTAAACACACACAAGTGCCTTTCCTGGTAGTGGGTTATTAACGAGTTCATTTGAAGTTTACCAACACTTATTATTTTTTTAATGAGGACCTCAACAATGCTAAGAATTGTATGGAAAGGAAAATATGTTATGGATACTATTAGCATAAAATTTTTAATGTGGTAAATTATGAGAAAGCATAACTGAAATTCAGAACAGATGAAAATTCAGAAAGGAAAAGACATTTGTAATTGTATCTGAAGATACTTCCCCAGAGCCTGAGCCAAGTTTCTGGGATCCAGATGAAAAAAGCCCTCAACAACTGAAGGGCTGTCCTAATAACAGCATGTGTGTGATAAGACATTGAGGCACTTAAAAATCAACATTTCAGTAAAGGCTTTCCCTGCAAATGGTTTCCAACTTCCCTCCACATTAAACTCCTCTGCTTAGAAATGGAAAGTGGGAGAAATACCTCACAAATCTCTCTGTAAGTTGCTGGACAAAATTGTAAATTTCAATCCAGTTATTTGCCACACTCCCAGACCTGAAAAAGGAAATTGAACTGATCATAAAAGCAACACATTTACTGGGGCCTAATCTGATCTCTTCTTCAAGCAAAGTAACAGCGTCAGCATCTGAAACTTAGGTGCTACGAGAATCTAGGAAGTCAACACATCTTCAGGGACCACCTGCCTGCTAATTGTTTGGAGTAGGATCCCAGCTCTTCAAAATAAACACAGCCTTCCTTAGAAGGAAATGTAAACCACACTGGGTATGTTAACCCTAGACTTTGCCTAGCTACAATGAAAGCACTGTGATCAGGATAAAACCAGGCAAACTCTAACCAGCGTGAGGCGCTGAGGACAGAGGGACCGAGAAAGAGTCTTGTCTGGGTTACAGGGTCGCAGAAGGCTATCCCAAGAGGCCGCACTCCCATTTCCCAAGAAACTCCACAACTGGCCAGCAGTGACTACCCATCTCCCAGCGAGCCTAGCAGCTCAGGGATCCTCCTATCACCCCGCAGCCCGCAAAGATCCGAAAGCGCTAGCTTTTCGGACAGAGATAGCAACAGGGCACCCATCACCGGGTTACCCACACCCCTCCCCAGGTCGCACATACATCTCAGCCTCCCCAGCCACAGCTCACTACCCAGTGCCACTCTCACCAGAAGACCCTGCATCTCCCTCCCGCACTCACTTGTCCAGGACGAAGTAGAGATCAAAGGCTCCACGGCAGGAGGGCTGCTCCTGGGCGCTCACCAGCCCCCCAGGACCGCTGAGAGCTAACAGCCACAGCCCGGGGACCAGCCAGCTCCCGGGACTGCGCGCCGGGGAGAGCCCCGCCACCATCCTGCGGCCAGGGGTCTGCGACTCCCTCCTGCTCGCAGCCCCCTCTGCTCGACTCGGTGGCGACGCTAGGGTGGTAGGAGTTACCAGGGACGCACCCTGGGGTGGGGGATTGCGAGCAGCTAGGGCGCCGGCGCCTGGGTCAGCAGGACCTACTAACTGACAGAAGGAGGGAGACCGGGAAGGAGGGAGGTCCTAGGAGGACAAAGGGAGACTCCGCAACCGCCGCAGCTGCCGCCGGAACTCTTGACGAATCCCAGTGGAAGAGCGATCCAGTCCTCCACCTCCCGATTCCGGAGAGTTCCTGCAGACAATAAGGGCCCTCGGCGACAGCTTGCAAGAGAAGTTCCTTCCCGGCCTCTGGTCGAGCCTCTAGCGCCCGCCTGGAACCCGGACCGAGAGTTCCAGTCCGCCGGGAGGGCTCGATTCCGGCTGCTGCAGCGCGAAGCGGGGCAGGCACCCCCGGGACGCGGCCGCCGCCGCGCAAACTTGGACTGGAAACCCCTCTCTTCTGGTTCCCTTCCTCCGGCGGCCCAACTCCGCTCTGCACTCCAAACTTTCTTCCTCGTACTCCACTCCGGCACAGCGCAGCGGGGCGGTCCCCTTTAGGGGAGGAAGCTGAACTGGCCCCGGGACTGGTGGCTCCGGAGAAGCCACTCACAGCAGGCCAAAAGCGCGATCTGGCCGGGTGCCCGCAGTGTCAGTGTGCGCCCGAGGGCGGGGCCTGATCCGAAGGCCGCCGAGCCACACACACGCACGCTTGTAGGTTCGTGCCGAGCTGAAGATGACTAACGCTTGTCAGTTTTTGGAAAGGGGATAAGTAGTTTAGAAAAACAGATGTCCTCTAGAAACTAAACATCTCCATGTATCCTGCAGCCTCGGCCTATTTCAGCAGCTGTGCAGAGCAGCCCTCGCCGTGGTTTGGGAAACTGAAGTCCGGCCATCCCAAGAGAGGCGATGCCCCCCCGCCGCCCCGCGCACTCTGCCCCACCCCTATGACCACAAGCACAGTTGCTGCACCGCTACCTAAGAAAGGCAATTTCCTCTTTTTCTATAAACCTACTTGGTTGTTTCATCTCACCAAGCCTAGAAACCAGCATGGTGGGGGGAATGGGGGTGGGGTCGGGGGTGGGAACTGAACTCTTCAGCAGTGGACAGTTGTACCTCAAAATATTTTATCCCACTGTCATTTATCTCAAGCTCCAGATATTAAGCATTGCATCTTGCAGCAAGCTAGGCCACCCTTGCCAAACTGTGCAGGAGCAAAAGTTTGCAGGCGTTCGGATTCTCTGCTTACTCATTTTTCATTCCCTCCCTCCTCCCCCACCACACCTGTGACACCTGCCTTCCCCTGACAGAAACTGGCTTTTAGAAGCTACCAATCTCACTGGTATAAACACCAATAATTGACAGTAATGTGAAGTGTCACCTCCTCCTTTTCATTTGAATTAAATCAAGGCTTTACGATCAAAAGTTCATATACTACCTAATCACATATTGTCTTAGCAATTCTATTGGTTGTCTTGCGTATTTAACTTTTCATTTACGTAATCTTTGACATACAACCAGATTTGCAAGCTCTCTGAGGATAGAAACCTGCCACTTTAACAAAGATTTATTAAGTACCTACTATGTGCTAGGCACTGTTCTAGGACCTAGAGTTAAGGCTCCGAACAAGATGACAAGCCCCAGTTTCCATGAAGCTTGCAGTCTGGTTGAGGAGGAAAAACAGACAAAAATATGTAAGTAAATGTCTGTATTAGAAGGTAGTTTGCAGAGATTTAATATATGGTAATATGATAGAGAATGACCAGCTAGATGACTAACACAAAGAAGGTAGCCATTCCAAGAACTAGAGGGGGAAACATTCCCAGCTGCTCCAACTTTCCATAAGTATTAGCTTAGAACATTCAAGAAACAGAAAGAAAAACAGTGTGGCTAGAGTTCTGTGTGAAAGAGGAAGTAAGAGAACTAGGCAGGGACTAGTCTATGTGCTTTGTAAACTGTGGTAAAGGATTCAGATATTTTATATTGTGCGACTGGAGCCCATTAAAGGCGATCCAGGGGTGGAAAATAGGATAAAGTGATATGATCTATGTTTTTCAAAGATCATTCTAGATGATATGACACACTGAATTTGGAGACAGCAAGAATGAAAGCAGGCAAACCGGTCAGGAGGCTACTGCAGGATCAGGACACAATAAAATGGTACCTTGGACCATCACCCCTATAGTGGCTGAACTGAGAGATATGAATGGATGAGAGCTTCAATAAATACAGGTAGATTCCCAGTTTGGAAATGTCTGCCACTTAGGGATGGAAATTCCACTATCATCCACTGGATCCACCACTTTTTACCTGATAGGGGGGTAGGGAGTGTTCTGATGGGGCAAGTGGCTGATTGAGTGGAAGATAACTTACACTTTTGTTAAAAAGAAATGCAAATCCTCCATTGTTTTCAAGTAACTGAGCTCCAGAAATAAAGTCCAATGAGAGGGATGGCTCTATTATAAGCATCCTGATTTTGTGCTCCTTGGTCTCATATCTTCTTAAGGTTCTGAAACTCTGATTCTTCTGCTGCCATCAGGCCTCCAGGGATATGGTGCCACCTCTCATTTCAAATTTAGGGCCAACTGTAGATACATTAATTTCTTTGACTTCCCACAGCAAAACTGAAACAGGCTGACATTTTCAGGAAACTTGTGTTAACAGCTGTTAAAGTTTTTTTTTTTCAAGGTTTTTATTATTTACTGTTGGTTAAAACTGGTCTTCATTTTCAGCTTTAGTTTTAATGAAGACAGAATCCAAGATAGCATATACTTTTACCAATTAATATCATATCAGTACCTGACTGAATAAAATCTAGGGGGAAAAAATCTGCCAAAAAGTAATGACAAATGGTTTCAAGTTAAGAGGGGATAGAAGGTAAAGAAATATGAGACACAATGCTGACCACGTACTCTATCCTCAGGAGGAAGTATTTTAAACTCACGTTGGCTTCCTTTTCCCCCAGCTTCCTGACTCATTTTCTGCTCAGCTTCTGGGACTCCACACACTAGTCTAAGGATCTGTCTTGTGCTAGGCCCAAACTAAAGCAAAATACTTTGGACTTAAAACTTGTTCTTCCTCATAATCCCTAGGCCCTCCTAGACTCCTCTCATTCGGTTCTTCTTTCCTGACCCAGGCCAGCAGAGGTGATTGGCATACCAAAGTGTATTACCTTTCTTTTGTTTGTTTGTTTGGGTAATTAATTCTGCCCAGTTCTGGAACTTCTATCATTTCACTCATTTGCTCATATAAGATCTACAGCAAAGCAGGGATGTGGCCTCACCTAGCACGGACCAATAATTAATCAAATCACTTTCATCTAATATAAATTAGTGGGAAGGTCATTAATTACTTGGGCAACAAAACTGTCCCAATTTGTTCCAGACTGAGGGGTGTCCAGTGACATGGGACTTTCAGCGCTAAAACTGGGGCAGTCCCTGGGATGGTCCCTAAAGCAGCAGTCCTCAACTTTTTTGGCACCAGGGACCAGTTTCCTGGAAGACGATTTTTCCACGGGTGGCGGGACGGCGTTGGGGGGACAGGGGGAGAGGTTCAGGCGGTAATACAAGTGATGGAGAGCGACAGGGAGCGGCAGATGAAACTTCCCTCATATGCCCGCCGCTCACCTCCTGCTGTCCGGCCCGGTTCCTAACAGGCCACGGACCTTTACCAGTCCATGGCCCCGGAGTTGGGGACCCCTGTCCTGAAGGACGCTTTTGGCCACACTATTTCTAAGCAATAATGAGGGAAGGTGAAAGCAAGGGCAGACTTAGGAATCTCCACAAGCCATGAAGAAGGAGCAGTCACAACAACAACACTTTCTCTTCCCCTGTCTCAGGTGAGAGGACTCGGGCATTGTGTCAGCTGGACACCGGCCAGGTAAGCCTTCCAACTGACTTTTGTACCATTACAGACATGCTGGAACACTGTTTAACTTTCTATTTTAAATCAAGATAGGATGGGATAGGGAATGCCGATTTTTAAGCAGAGGGGGATGGTTACACTGAATTATTTAGATAAATACACCTAAAATATTTGTATTTTATCAAATTATCTGCATTTCTGCTGAAGTATTTTGCTTCATAATCCGTGCAAGCCCCTGCTCTTTGAAAGTTATTCTTTGTATCAAACCAAACTTCTAGTTCAACATTAGAATTTATCACCTTACCCCATAAAATATGCTAATAAATCCAAAAACACTTTAAACTCGGTTTAATGCAGTTAGAATAGCTTGACATTGATTAATCATTAATCTTCATTAACCTGATGATTAAAAGTGTCCACTAGGCCCTCTATCATTGCCCATCTCTTGCACCCACAAAGCTCCTATGGATTTCAGGTTAAATTTTATTTATTTATTTACTGATTTTTATTTCACAAGTATTTATTGATATCTACTATGTATCTGGTAATATTCTAAGAATAAAATTTATACCCCTGTTCTCAGGAGTTCATCTTTCCAATAACCTGTCATTAATTTATTTCTATCTCCCCTGACCCCAACAATGAACAAACAGAAGAGACAAATAAGCAACAATAATTGACACAGGAAAATAAAAATAAACCTATTCTTTATGTGTAAAAAATCATATAATCTATATTATTTACAAGTAGATAACTTCGTATGACATCCACAGTGACAAACGTGGCTCTCCTGGAAGTACAGTACCACACTGGATGTGACTCATAGTCATGTTATGTGTAGAGTGATTCATTATATGATAACTACCGTGATTCACAGGAAGATAATAAATCTACCTATAGATGACAAAGCTTATTTAAACTCTGTCAGTATAGTCATTAAAGAATTAGATTTCCCCAATGTCTGAACTAGTTCCTGAGAGTCAACAAAATGCTCTAGGAAGGGGCAATTACTTCTAAGTTAATATCTCTATGTATGACCAACAGGGAATGTAGCCAACGACAGAGAATGGTTACTAACATCTGCATTTGGGATTGGGTGTATTTTTTTTTTTTTTTTTTTGCAGTATGTGGGCCTCTCACTGTTGTGGCCTCTCCCTTTGCGGAGCACAGGCTCTGGACGCGCAGGCTCAGCGGCCATGGCTCATGGGCCCAGCCGCTCCGCGGCATGTGGGATCTTCCCGGACCGGGGCACGAACCCGTGTCCCCTGCATCGGCAGGCGGACTCTCAACCACTGCTCCAACAGGGAAGCCCAGATTGGGTGTATTTTAAATCCAGTTTCCCAGAAACAGACCTGAGACTCTGGGATTTGCCTGCAGGAGGTATATTGGGTCATGCTCTCAGGAGAAAACCCATGAGGGGTGAGGGAAGCAGAAATAGTCAGAGAGAAAGTTGAAACATGAAACAGTTGCAAAGGAAGCCTCAGCCAACCCCCGTAATGGCCTTTCACAGTTGTCCTGAATCGAATGAGGCAATGGGGCCAGAGTTTTGTATCTCCTCGTGGACCAGGCATTAAATGGGGCTGCCCTTTAGAGAAAGTATAACGTTGGGCAAGGCAGCTTCCTCTGGCTTAGGACAATTATAAGGAGGGACTCAGCA